AGGTATCAGGTGCTGATTTTAAACAATTTACAGATAAGAGGCTGCCAGTCAGGTTATGCTGTTTTTGCTACAAGCTGTTTTTACTTTGTTCATGCAATTGTTGGACTCCCTCAACTCTGTGGAAAGACAGCACTGAAGAGCTGAGCTTGGTGTACATGTAGTATTCCCCAAAATTCAAGAACCAGGAGCAGCTTGAAGGTTCAACATTACACCCTGCTTCTGTAGCACCCCCAATGACCTTGGCCTTCCCAGCTTGACTTAATCAGTGGTGTGGCAATTGATAACCCGACTTATAATAAATCCTGGGATGTTCCTAAGCTCCTTCTCAGAGCTAGGCTTGCCTTAAAGTGAAATTTAAGTGCATCCCCTCATTCATATTTACTAGGATTAACAATGGTCATACATCTAACACCAAACCTCAAAAGAAAAGGTGGGAGGAGGGGCTGCTGAATTCTGAAATCCAATGACAATTCCTTCACTCTGGGCAAAGTTACGATGACTCTTTAACTCTGGGCCTTAAACTGCCTAAACTATAGAAACATAAGGATGAACTCATGAGGCTTCATGTAAACTGACAATATCAACTGTATCAGTAATGAAATAATTTGGCTACACTTTTGCACAAATTCATCCTCCTATTATTATTATTTAGAACAAGCTATACTTTCAGAAAGTTTATGAACTCTTCACAATACAACGATTTGTTACATACCTTCAAAGGTTGATACACACACATCTTGATTCAGTGATGCTGTTCTATTATGTATTTTATGATTTTAAGATGCTTGAATGGTTTTATTGTACACAAACATGATTTTGAAAGAGTTGGTGGTATATTATTATTATTATTATTATGCATAAATAAAACGTGCATTTTCTATAGGCTGCACAACTGCTTTGCTACAAGATCAGGCAAAAATACTGCCAGCCATTTTACACAAAACATAACAAGCTTCCTGAAGATGAGTGAAGTGGCCCTACAGAATCTCATTATGCTGACACTCAAACCTGGCTGTTGATTGCTGCCAAGTCTACTGTTGCTAGGGCTCAATATCTGGATATGAAGAAAGCCAATTTTCCTGTTTGCCCAGAACAGAAAATAGATCTAATAGGCAACAAATCCACCACTGGCTCAGTAACCTAAGATTAGGGATTTACTTTGCAAGATCAATTGGTCTTTTTACAAGTTGTAATTTCTGAACAGTGTGGAGTAGGTCATTTATCCTGTGAACAAATTGTAAACCTTCAGGTAATGTGAAATCTCCATCCCATAATGTGGGAGCACTCCTCTGCACACTCACCTTGTACACACAAAAGGCAAAGGTTTGTGATCTGCTCAGGAACAACTATGTACAACCACTGCAGGGGAGGTTTCTCATGCAACACAGACATTGTTTTGCTGATGTTGCCTTGATGAGAAGATAGGGCTGGAATGAGCACAATACTGTACTTAAAAGAACTAGGATGTAGACTACAGCCACAGGGCCAGCAGACTCGTGGTTTTGCTGAAGCTGGTCTGCAGGCTGAGTGACTATATGCACTTCTCTATAGTCAGAGTGTATTTTGTCCATATAGCTCACATGCATCAGTTCTTAGAGCTGCAGTGTTCCTGCTAGGAGGTAAAAACAAACACTCAAAACAAGCTGTTTCAAAAACTTTGGAGGTTTGCTGACAGACTCCAGCAGAAAAAAAGGACATGCCAGCTATAAACTGGCTACAGGGTTCAATCCCTCTATATCTTCTGCGTGAGAATGTGAGCATGATGTCTGAACGCAACGGCATCAGTGAAGCATGGGTTCTTTGATGGTTGAAAGATAGAGTATACATGTTAGAAAATGATTTGAGGTTATTTTTTTTACTAGTACTTGACAATGTATGGTTTTTGATTGCTTTTTTAACATCCCATGCCCTTTTAAAATGTGGGGTTGGGGGGGTTATTGGATTGTTGTTTTTATTTTGATTATATGTTTTGTGGTTTTATATTTTGATTTTGTTCTGTGAACTGCCCTGAGGCCTACAGGTATAGGGTGGTATATAAATTCAATATAAAAATAATAAAATAAATAAATGTGTTTTTGATGATGTGATGATGTATGAATATTCTCAACATTCTATGACATTGGGGATTGTACATTAAAAAACATGTGAAAATGATTTAAATCTGTCTTTCCAGTGTAGGCAATTACTGTCTGCCTCAGAAATCCACTGTCCTTTCATCCTTCATTTTATTCCAGACAGGCGCTTCCTCGGGAATCTGAAATACAGGGACACCCCCCCCAATAGTGCCGTTCTCGAAACAGAATAACTATGTTTGTTCAAAGAAAATAAATGAGCCAAGAATGGAAACCCCCCTTTTTTTTGTCCCCTTATATTTCTCTGCATGGAATAATTGCCAAAGAATTGCTCGAATTTATGTGAAGATTACCTTTGTAATGTTTCCCAGGTCAATGTCAGGTTGGATTACCAGGCACACGGCACCAGTGCCAGCTGCACAAATTAAAGCAGAGGACAAACAAGATCTCTCACAAGCTCATATGCTTTATTAGTATGGCTATTATTTCCATACCATGTTGAGCAGGCTTTCCCTTCATCCAGGGAAATTTCTAGAAGGGCGGATGCCAAGATTCTATTTTTAAACTTCTTATACTCAATTATTAGCTTCCCCAAGATGAACGTGGTATCTTTTTTGGCATTGCGGGGGGCGGGGGGGGGGGACAAGGAGGAAAAGACTGCTGGGGAAAACAAAGAGATTTTTTTTTTAATGAAGCAAACCTTTATTATTATTATTTTCCTTTACCAGAGAGAAAGAGAGGGAGAGGGAGGGAGAAAGGGAAGAGAGAGTTAACAGCAGGTAACAGCAAATTGACAGGATGAAGAATGTACCCACTACAAGGGAATTTACATATCCCTAGCTCATGCATCACCACAGCTTACCCAAGTTTAATGACTCTTCTGAACTGACAAGATGATGATGCTCCCACTCTGTGGGACTAATCAGAACCAGTAAAATGCTTCAGTGACCAAAATTGGAGTGAAACTTGCATAAGTGGTTATCTTGCCTTAAAGACAAATGGGATAGTAGGGGTTCATTTAGTTTCCTTCAATTACAATAGCCATTGAAATAGAAATCCCTCTTATAGGAAGGATGTAGAATTCAACTGTAATTGGAGGAAGGGGAAACTAATTTAAGTTTATGAGACAGTGAGGAGAGAGATAAATAGTATAAAAATAAAAGATGACACATATTGACAATCTATATTGCACAGAAATCCTCCTGCACTGATCATCCCGCCTTTGTTCACTTCCTATTAACAAACAATGTACAGGATCGGCCAACACAGGCTTGTATCACATCCAGTGCTTGCTGATTATGTAGTGGTGGCAATGCAGCAAAGCCCTAATGTGCGAGAGTTTTGCATTCACATAAGCGTGCCTTTCCAGTACATCCCTGTTTTTACAGAATCACAAATGCTTACATTAATGGGTTGTCTTTTACAATTAATTTAAGTTGGTTAAAATGAAAGGGGGGAATACTTTATTACAAGCATCACCACAGTTTATAAAGCAATGCATGTATGGAGGTGGATGACGTGAATGGGGGGGGGAACGGTGTATCCGTGCTTCCCAAACTTGGGTCTCCAGTCAGTTTTGGACTACAACTCCCATCTTCCCTAGCTATCAGGACCGGTGGCTCAGGGATGATGAGAACTGTAGTCCAAAAACTGGTGGGAAACATTGGCCTATATGAAGCGCTGGTCAAGCCAAGGTTCATATCCACAAACCAGACAGGAATCCATTCTTTTAAGCATGCAGTTAAACTCCTACATAGCACTGATTGCAAAATAAATCTGCACCAACACATATGCACAATATTGTTGTGGTTCATTGCTGACACTTGTGTCTTCACACTATAGGGAATGTTATTGACCATAGAGATGTGATAGGGAGAGTACACACGCAAAATCCAGAAAGAAATGAATGAAAATGTATGTATTTCTGCAATGTGAACACTTTTTTTTGATGTTTTACAGTAGTAGGAGCAAGCAGCTATAAGCCACATTAATAGAAAAGGCAGAGACACCTAGGAAAGTATTCACATTCTTCAGATACATGGCTACAAACTTGTCTCACCAGCTAATAGGAGAATAGCATCCCTAACTTTCTGTAAATTTAAAAATTGCCAGCAAAGACCTATGTAATCGTTGGAATGAAGCAACTACTACTACTTCCTTTTACAGAAGTGGGGAACATGTTATACAATGTATAACAGGACAGAAAGAAGAACAGATTAAAAGAAGAGATAGATTTTTTAGCATAAGAGGTGACTTTCTTGCAGTTGAGTCTGACACACTGTACAATCTTTCTGAAAGTATGCATTTAACTGGATTTAAAAGTATTCTCTGTCTGCAGAGGTACAAATGAGTCAAAAAAGGTAGCTCAAAACCTTTGCAAGCAATGCAGAAAATGTGAAACAGAGATATAACAGCTCCAGGGGATAGAAAATCATGAATGTTTCTGGGAAATAGGCGGCTGTTGGTGGTAAGGTAAAGGTAAAGTTAAAGGATCCCTGGATGGTCAAGTCCAGTCGAATTCGACTATGGGGGTGTGATGCTCATCTCCGCTTTCATGATAAAAAAAATCCTTCCAGTAGCACCTTTAAGACCAACTAAGTTAGTTCTTGGTATGAGCTTTCGTGTGCAAGCACACTTCTTCAGATACACTCAAGCTGACGTTGCCGGATCCTTCTATATGGAGAGACGGTGGGGAGGTATTACTCAGAAGGGTGGTGGGAATGGGAGATTGGCAGATAGCTGAGATGAGCCTGCTGACGACTCTTAACGACTGTAATAGGTCTTACAGGAAAAGGCAAGGGGTGAGAAGGTGAGAAATGGCTTAGTCATGTATAATGGGATAAGAATCCAATGTCTTTGTTCAAACCAGGTCTCTCCATGGTTTTAAGTTTGGTAATGAGTTGCAATTCAGCAGCTTCTCTTTCCAGTCTATTTCTGAAATTCCTTTGTAGTAAAACAGCTACTTTATACAAGCTACCTTATACAAGATCTCAAAGTAGCTGTTTTACTACAAAGGAATTTCAGAAATAGACTGGAAAAGCTGCTGGTGCAACTCATTGCCAAACCTAAGGCCATGGAGAGATTGTAAGACATTGGATTCTTATCCCAGTTACATGACTAGGCCATTCTCACCTTCTCTACCTGTAAGACCTACAGTCGTTAGAGTGCAGTCAGCTCAGCTCGCATCTCACACCCTGGTCTCACTCTCACTATATGAAGGATCTGGCAACTTCTGTTTCAGTGTATCTGAAGAAGTGTGCTTGCACACGAAAGCTCATACCAAGAACTAACTTAGTTGGTCTTAAAGGTGCTACTGGAAGGATTTTTTTTATTTTGACTATGGCAGACCAACACGGCTACCTATCTGTAACTCCGCTTTCATGCTGAGGGAGCTGGTGTTTGTCTGCAGACAAGCTTTCCTGGTCATGTGGCCAGCATGACTAAACCACTTCTGGTGCATGGAGGACCATGATGGGTGCCAGCGTGCACGGAAATGCCGTTTACCGTCCTGCCACAGTGGTACCTATTTATCTACTTGCACTGGCATGATTTTGAACTGCTAGGTTGGCAGTCGGTGATGAGCTATGTGGAAAGCCGCTCTACATATTCCAACATGTATAGCAATCATCACATGAATGCAATTTCATGCTGCTTTCACACAGGACCAAAAAGGATGTAAGGCCATTCCTTACTCAAACCTACAGGATAGGAGAAAGATATTTCTGTCTACATTAACTACACAGAATGATCTAGCGCAAAAGATTACTGTTTGTGTAATGGAACCCTTCCCCTCCTCTCCTCTGCAGCTCATAACCAGATTTTCCCTTTGGTGTGCCTACAAACTTATTGTAATCTCTACAAATTTCTCAGGCAATTTCCATTGCTCAAGGCATATACAGGAAGGAAACATTTCCCAAGCACTCCTTTGGGTTAAATGTACAGTGGTACCTCAGGTTAAGAACTTAATTCGTTCTGGACGTCCATTCTTAACCTGAAACTGTTCTTAACCTGAGGTACCACTTTAGCTAATGGGGCCTCCCGCTGCCGCCACGCCATGCCACGTGATTTCTGTTCTCATCTTGAAGCAAAGTTCTTAAACTGAGGTACTATTTCTGGGTTAGCGGAGTCTGTAAGCTGAAGCGTCTGTAAGCTGAAGAGTCTTGTAACCTGTAATATGTTTAAAGTTTTGCCCATTTTTAATTAATATTTATTTGTAAATTCAACAAAGAAAAGGAAGGTGAAAGATCAGTAGTAGTAGTAGTAGTAATAATAATAATAATAATGAAAATACAAGAAAATAAATAAAAAATAATATCTAAATAATACTGACAGTAACAAAAAGCCATCTTATTTCACATTGCAGATACAATAACCATAAGTACATGTGCATTAAGCTAAATATGTAAGTTAAACATATAATCCCTTCAGATGTCCATCCAAGTAACTACACAGAACTGACGTCTAATCTTGCCTAACTTTTCAGTCAACTTGCAGTCAAACATTCAGGGCCAAATATGTAAGCATGGAAGTGCTCAGGGGCTGATTATGCAAGAACCCGGGCATGAACAGGTGGCTACACCTGTGTCACCTTTAGAGACATTACTTGTATATCTCTGAAAAGAAAGCTTATTTAATGGTGAACATGAACAAATAATGTAATGTGCCATGATATGCTTCGATGGCGGATGCATTACTGACAACTGCACTCTTCTAACTATGGGAGAATGAAGCGAGAGATCCCTAATGTTTCTCTTAGCACAGCATGGCTGAATTATAAATTCAGACACACTTCACATTCTAACAGATGGCCCCAGCTATCTTGAAGAGCGAGATTGTTTATTATTGGATAATAACAGTGTCCTTGTTTAATAATGGCCATTGAGAGATGTGCTGATGCACAGTTTCCATGGAGATGTGGAAGTGTCACTGCACAGTGTGCGCTAAGCTGTTCATATACCTCCTCCACTGTGGACAATCAGTAATGGACAAGCTCAAGCCTCACACTTCATCAAGGGGATGCTGCAGTGGGAATGGTGGCGAGTGTAAATTTCCCTCACTTCTGCCGGCTTGTTCTCATTGATTTGCCTTCTTGAATATGTATTGGTGGGCAACTAGGTGATTTAGCAGAAACACTGAATTTCAGTTATTTCCCAAAGGCAAAACCACAAGAGGGTCGTAGCGAACAATTCAACCTTCAGTATGCCCAGAATGGATATGCATACATACAGAAGGAAAGGGAAGTACAAATTAAAATAAATCCATACATCTATGCAGCTGCTCATATTCCTCATCTACTCTTAAGTTTCAATAAAGAGTGTCCTTTTCTAAAATGTGTTTTACCTCCTTTGGTAAACAGTTGCATAGTGGGATATAGAAGTGGGACCTCCAACTAAAAGTTTGGGGTATAGAGTACCCCTGCTTAAAGTTCCAGCCAGCCAGCCTCTCCTCCAGGATACACCATTCCATTCCTCTCCTACCTGTTTTTCCATCTCCTGCACCCAACAGTCTGCAAGTATTCTGTAGCTACTGAACATCCTATCTCTGAACTATTTTCCATGTATTTACTGATTCCCCCCCTCTCCCAATATACACATATTTATACTTCTGCCAACCCTAGAATTCTGCCAAGCTTGCTTCTGTGCACGAGCTGTGCCTAATTTGGCTACAAAGGATCCACACTAGCCTCTGAACCTCAGAAATATTTGGATGCACAACTACAGTCCCCTGATGAAATGCTTATTCCCTCTGTTTCTTAGGCCTGCTTTAGGGTTCTATCCCTTTGTGTCAGCTTAAGCAGCAATAGCAAAAGGAGTCGTATATGCTCTGTTGTGCAGGATAGCGCAACAGCAGGCAATGATCAACCTGGCTTTTCAAACACAATAGTATTTTGTTGGTACTAATTAACATCTTTGGATGATGCCTATTACCTTGCTAAAAACTATAGAAGCTCAATAGGTTTAAAAACAATGACTTTTGAACCACAGCACTCTCTGGCTTGTTGATGGCAAGGAAAAATTGCTGTAAAAAAAAATTCCCTAGACACCAAGATCTAAGTTTGAGACAAGTATACTTTGGTCAGAAAGCCCCAACAAAGATTTTAAATCACAAAATATGCAGCAAAGTAAAGTGTGGAAATATAGACTGCTAGACCTTAAAATATGCCCTTGTGAGTTCCAAAATTCCCCTCCTCCCTTAGCACAGAAAAGACCACATGTTTGGTAAGTTAAAAAATGTTTTACTTACAAACTCTCCAAAGGTCAGGTTCGTGTGCTTTTTCATACAGCAGTCAGAAAACACAGGCAGTAAAGCTTGGCTTAGTTACAGCGACAAAAGTTCCTAAATTATTGGTATAGGAACTCAAGAGAGGCTTGTTGGAGCCATGTGGTCTGAGTTTAGAGCAACCAGCTCAGACCTCTTTACACACTGAGGTTCTCAGATGATTACCTTCCTCCCAAGGTGAGGGGGTGTGACGTAGGACAGCTTACTCTATGGCATTAACCCCTTCATGCATTAATTAGACTTAGCCATGTTAGTTATATGAGGCTGGTTATCCCACATGACCTACATAGCATACTTATGCAGATGAAACATGAATCAATTTCAATTCAGCGAGACACAAAGCTGTCTGCATTGGTCTTGCTTGCTAGGAACCCCACTGCATATTTGCCCTCTACATAATTGTGAGCCACTAAACATGCTGCCCTGCAGCAAGTGGTGAAAGCATAAAATCTCAAGTGATATGGTTGTTTGTACTCATGAGCTGAGGGGTCAAGCTTTAATACCTATATTAAGAACTGGGTACTATTTATGATTTTCTGTAATATCCATCAGTTACATCCCTTCATTATATATTGTTTCATAATGTTATGAAATCAAAACCAAGTCAAAAACTCTTTAGTTATAAACTTTCATGGAACAAAATATATACAAATGGGAAAAGAGAGAGAATAATACTGAACACACTGCATTCCTAATTAGGAGAGGTGCTTCAAAGCAGCCTCTCTGAAAATAACTAAGCGGCATATCCACAAACTGGTTACATGAGAGTTCTTCAATTGAAATAGATTGAACTCAGTGAAGTGAATCAACCCACAGAACTGTAAGAAGAGACACGGGAAACATTCCACAACATGCTGTTGTTGATGCTACTTGTTTGTGATAATATCACATCTCAGGTGTCTCAAGTCAGTCCCCACTGTGTCCAATATTTCTATAATACCCTGTGGTTTTTAAAGATTCTTCATGTTTTTCTTCCCTTCCTGGGTGCCACCAAGTGTGATGATATCACCAAGTCAAAATTTCCATCCAAATCTTTCATAGAGTCAAACTGTTTCAATTTCTGATGCTGAAAAGCCGCCCCCAAGGTTTTTTTTTTTGTTTGCACACACATTGTTCATAATGTTTACCAGCTCTGACTGGTATAACAGCTGCAATTGTTTCTGGTTGCAGCAGCTGTCCATGCATGGGTAACCTCAAGGCTTGATTACTGTGAACACAACTATGCTGCTGCCCTCACATCTAGCCTGGGACTTCAATTAGTGCAGCATGCAGTGGCCAGAGTGCACACAGGGTGCAGATTACTGGCAACATGCAACTCCACTACTGAGAGAGCTTCGCCGGTTACCAATTTGCTACCAGGGCAGCTTCAAGCTACTTGTGCTCATTCACAAAGCCCTAAACAGCTTGGGCCTAAAGTACCTTAAGGACTGTCTGATTCCTTATGCATCACTTCACCCACTAAGATCCTTTGATGGGGCACTTCTGGTGGTTCCCCATTCCCTTAAGGTTCAGTTGGTCTACTAGGAACTGAGCCTTCAGTGTGGCAGGCCAGCAGATGTTCAGCAGGAACAACCCTCACTTCTTTCTCATGACTTTTTGAAAATGATATTGCTTAGACCAATGTTTCCCAAACTTGGGACTCGAGCTGTTGTTGGACTACAGTTCCCATAATCCCTGACCACTGGTCCTTCTAGCTAGGGATGATAGGCGTTATAGTCTAAAAACTGCTGAAGACCCAAGTTTGGGAAACAGTGGTT